CATGGTCAGATGGTTAGGCACGGCATGGTTAGGTTGTTAGGCCCGGTATGGCCATGTGGTTAGGGCTCTCGACTCGCAATCTCAGGGTCGCAGGTTCGAATCTCCGTCACACCAAACATGCTCGCCCTTTCATCTGTGGGGACGTTATAATGTGACGGTTTACGTTGGTAAAAGCGTAGCCCAAGAGTTGGTGATGACTAGCTGCCCTCCCTCTAGTCTTATACTGTTAAATTAGGGATGGCTAACGCATATAGCCCTCGTGTAGCTTGGGGCGAAATTCAAAAACAAACAAACTTAAATAAGTCTGCACCTTAATATCGTGTCTGCATTTAAATGATTATTAATGCAATTTCTAGGTTTTTTTGGGAGATTAAGTATTACAATTACACAATTTACTTTTTGTACACGTCGAAGTTATCACATAGCGCATACAATATTTGAGTATGACAGCCACGTACGACTAGTTTTGACGTTAGTTTTAATTCAACTTCACATATCAGTATACCTTTTTCATTGTTTCTAAACCTTGAGGACGTTGATTACATAACAAAGTTCGAAAAACGAATTACGTCTGAGCTGCTTCTAAGTAATAAATGGAAAACTAAAACTGTGTGTATTAATTTTATCTTACACATTAAATCAGACAGATATGGGTGTCATAATAAAACTAATGAAAAATCAGTCAAAAGATATATAGATGGAACCGTCGAACATAAGTTTCGTAACCAATAGGAAACAATAGATATTACACGTGAAGGTTTAAACAGGCCCATCACGGGTCAGTGGGAGGCATTTTTGTTGAAAAATAAACAAACTACCCAATCCGCTTTTTCTTAATTTGAACTGAAAATTTTGGATATTTTTATTGGGTAAAAATAAGGGATTTTTCGCACTCTTTTAGGGTTGGGACTGTGAAAAATGATTTGAAGTGGTAAGGCGACTAAAATCCGTCAGAGCATCATGAGCTTAACAGCCAAACACAAAAAGCATGGAAGTCTCCAAATGATACGCAGAGGTATTTAGGAACCGTTAAGAACCACCTTGGTAGATATTATGCAGCAAACCAAGTACAATATTATGCCTGTAATTGCTTTCAAAGTGTTCCTGTCTGCTCATCCTACTGCTGACTATCGTGATGCTTTGACCTTCCATACCGAATCGTAAGTGAAATCGTTCGTATCTCAATTGAAAGCTAAACATAAAAAGGTGATAGCAAAAGAATAAAAGGTTGGCAATTGTTTAATTAATGATGCTAAATTATTCAGCCTTCTAATGGTAAAATGAGAACTATCACGCCCTCTGTGTATTCCAAAGAAAACCAACTTTTACCTCCCCTATGACGTTATGGGTCACATAATCATAAAATGTGTTTAGCACTGTCAAGTTTGCGAATAATTACGTTTGTAATTAATTTTTCATGTACACCATTTTACTACAGACATAAGAATTTTACCATAACTTTACGAGTTTTACTAGCACTGATATGTGAAAAGAAATATACATATATATATATATCTTTCTAATCTTTATTTAAAAAGGCATTTCAAACATTGAAAATATACATTAAAGACATTGGAACAAATGTTAACATTTTATCACCTTTAACGGGAATCTTGTCTTTAAAATGATGGACATCTGTTAGTTGGAAAGAATTGAACGCAATGAGGAATTCGTCATACCACACTCAATACATTGAACAATCAAAGCTTTAACTGAGCAATATTTTAACTAAAAAACTTAATTTTATTTGGGTGAAAACTAACGTATTTATGGTTATCTAATAGCTAGTAATTTGTAAAATTGCAATGTATCATATGCAAGGAATGGAACGAAAAAATACGAGGTGAACACAACACTAGTTGTAACTACCTTCATCAATACAGATTGTTTGAGTGGCACATGCTATAAAAATATTGGACATAAGCCTCGTTCAGACAAATGCCTGAGTGAATCGAAGCAAGACCTCTAGGGAGCTACAAATTTCATATCCATTCACATCAATAAAAACTCAGTGACGAAAGTAGGCACAATCATTTGTATATCTACCCGGATATTACGGTTTATTAAAAATCCATCAAAACGTAATAGGCTAATTCTAAAAGTATTCTAAAAGATAAGCTTCTTTTTTGTTAACCCAAAGCTATCAGGCAGGTGGCAGCACTGCCTACGTAGGGATGGCCCGGATTGTTCATCGAAATGGTATTTTAAATATCTCCTCAATAGGTCACCAGAACATTACAATACTATACAGTGTTTTCTTTTATAAGAATATCTATCTAATGACCGAGTCACAAGTTCTGGGAATTTCTGTAAATATCATAACAAAAGTTTGAATTTCTTGTTCTTCTTTCTTCTGCTTCTTATTTATTACATGAAAACTCAAAAACAAAACAATGATGTCAACTAATTTCAAATGGAGTATCCGCTTTTATAACAATATCCATCTAATGACCGAGTCATAAGTTTTGGGAATTTCTGTAAATATCATAACAAAAAAGATTCTTGTTTTTCTTTCTGCCGTTTCATTTTTATTACATGATAACTCAAAACCAAAACAATGGTGTCAACTAATTTCAAATGGAGTATCCGCTTTTATAAGTATTATTAACTAGTAGTAATTTAAAAATATAATCAGAACTCTAGTGTAAATGATGGTATCATTACCCCTATACGTTAGTTTTCTTACAGAAGTCTGGTGTTCCTTTAAAACGCTTACTTACAGGATGAAACAGGTATTACCAGCCAATAAGAGATAAACAATAAATAGTACAGTTGGAACCTTATTGTATTTAGAACTTGGTTGTAAGTACAACCTTCCTGTGTCTATTGAAACACTGCATTAAAAAACAAGTAAATAAAAAACTTTTCAAAAAATAAAATAAATGTAGGGATGGCTAATATCAATCCATCCCTACTCTCTTGTTTGCGTTGTTTTTGAAGGATTGATATTAGCCATCCCTACATTTACTTTCTTTTTTGAAAAGTATTTTCTTTACTTGTACAGTAAACTGTCTGTGCTCTGCCAACCCACTGATATCGAAACTCGATTTTTTGGGTTATAAGCTACTAGGGGAAGAAAATAAGAATAAACAAATATTTAATTTAAGTACCCTAATTTTATTCCCATACAGTTCAAATTACCGTTAGAAGTGGATATTTAATTGAAAATATATAATATTACATCTGCAATATCAACAATTTAAAAGACTTGAGTAGCAGATTTTACTGGATAGGCGGAAATTTTCTTAGTATCTTTCAGAATAACAGATGTAGTCATAAGCAATATACAAACATATTTACACCAATAAAATATATTTTACATACACATATAAGCCATATTGCGCTATTTCAAAATAACACATCTGAATTTAGACCTGGTATAACCTGGTGGTCAGGTAGCTGAACTTGCAATTTATTGTCTCGGGATCGAACTCTTTCACCAAACATGTTCTCATATTCAGCTGTGTGGATCTTATAATATAATGATCAATCCCACTATTCGTTGGTAAAGAGTAGCACAAAAGTTGGCGGTGGGTGGTGTTGACTAGCTGCCTTCCCTCTTGTTTATCACTTCAAAGTTAGGGATAGCCCACGATTCCTTTGCGAGAAGTTTAACAAATAAACACCCGTATTTTTGTAATTCTAAGCTATCCAAAAAACGCTCATGACTAAAACCTTGTTTTTATTACATACTATCTTTAAAAGATCTTAGATTTACAATACGCAAACGTTATTTAGAATTAAGGAGATATTTATATTGTTTGATAGCTTCTTATAACGATAAAACTACCAAGACATTAAACACATTTTGACTTATTTTACCAATACGTTTTCTTTTATCTAAAAATACTTTGGAGAGCTGTTTCTCTAATGGTTAGATTTGGAGCTATTTTTGGAACTGTATATCCAACGCTGGTGTTGAATTCCTCTACGATGACGTATGTAAAACGTGTCATCTTGCACTACACGGCATTTTCTGAGGAACTAGCTGAAGTTCGAAGGGAGGCTGGATTTCTTTGTATTATCCAACTTTAAAACCTGTTCTTGTTTTTCTGCGGTCGTTTCATTTAACATTCTTATAACTACTGCTGTAACACTCCCTATGTGTTTGTATACGTAGCCAATATGACAACCTCTATCTTAAGTTTGGATAATATGAATCAAAACTTAAAGGAATGGAATTTCCCTGGCCTAGTTTGGTCGTTGCCGCAGGCAACCACTTGGAAAAAGAACTGGAAATGGTGAGTTAATGAATCATGTATTTTTAAAATACAAGATGTATTTATTTTACAATAAAATACGCAATACTTTATCTTCAAAACGTGGCCTAGAAAACTTAACACTAAAAAAATGTCGTGCACTAAATTAACTGTACCACAACTAGATATCATAAGAAACTTTCAGTTCAAAAATTATCTAAGATATATATAGGAAAGAACAGTTTCGAAACAGTAGTGAATAGGTCCCCAAAAAGGGATTTTCGGAGCTCTCATGTGATTGAATTAATTGACTTAAATACTGGTATTAATAGATAAGATGTTCAAAACAATGTAATAAATTCAAATTTTGGAAATTTTTAAAGTTGAACACCTATAGAAAATCATAGGGGCTTTAAGGCTCTTTTGGCTAGATCACGAACTTAGAAGGAAATTGGCGCATGGACATGTTACGAATCATTTTTAACATTTCTGTTTTCTACGTTTCATATTCGGAACCCCCTAACATGGATCTAACTGTTTTTGGCGTATCTTAGATGTATATCTCGCTGTCAGTTTATTGAAACTCCTAATTTTGAAACAGATAAATGTAAAATGAAAGACAAATTAAAGGCGTTAAATAATGAGACTGTGACAAGTGGGGCCTTTAGTCCCAAGTAAACTAGACGTTTTTTTGGCTTTTTGACTGTTTTATTGAAACAACAAAAATAAAACGAACGTTATCGTAGTATTGCATAATGTTTGTTAAGGAAGCTGTTTCTCTGTTGTAGTTTATTAACTTTCTCGTGACTTTTTTTATTAATTAGATTTTATTATTTAATTAATAGTAAATTAATTTGCCACCAGGGTACGCAATATATGAAAAATGATTCTCTGGAACACATGTAAAATGTATCAAACGTATCCAAAAACATATAAGCAATAGTTTGAAGTCATTGAGAAAGTTGCCATCACACAAAGATTGGGTTTATGCTGTAATTCACTGATCCTCTTCTAAATTGTATGTTGCTCAATATATATATATATAAGCTCTATCGATTCTAACCCTTCATAAGCCTATTTTTAATGCTTCTTTAGGTGGCTATATCTTAAAATATCCTTGGTGTATATGTTATAATACCATAACATACAAATTTAGTTGCCCCACAGTGGCACAGTGGTATGTCTGCGGACTTATACTGCTAGAAACCGGGTTTCGATACCCGTGGTGGGCAGAACATTTAGCTCAAATGAAACTAAATTTGAATCATTTAAGGATTTGGATTATGCAAAATGTGTGTGTTATATTATTCACAAACATATAACACAATACACACGTAACACTCATTTGAAATGTTTAAAGTCTTAAAATGTTGGTTTCCTTTAAAAAAAAATAATATTTCAGAAGCTAAAGTTGACATATTTATATATTATTAATATTATTATTAAAAATAACTAGATATCTTAATAACATATTCCAAATATTTCAATTTTATACTTTCAGGGCAAACTGTTTCCTTTTCCTAATGTCATCCATAGTCACGCTGGAGACCCACAGGGAATGGGGCAGAAACCCTTAACCTTCTTCCAGCAAGTAAGTTCATTTCTTCGACATTGTGGCTCGTGAAGGTTACATGTCTATTTTAAGAGTCGTCACGTTACGTGAGAGCTCTTCAATTTTGAATTACACATTTCTTAAAACAAGGCACAGTTTGGTTAATATGTTGAAGCTCTCCACCTAGCGATCACGTCTTACATATTATTTGACTCTAGAAAGTAATGTACGAATACTGTACAGATCTTGAGCCATGCCTAGGGTAACGAGGCGTACCGGTAAAAAAAAAAAAAAAAGAGCACGTGTACTCTGTCCAGTAGGCATTTTGAGTATGTTGATATTGTCCGGCATTTTACTTAGAAATGTAAGAACGAAGTTTTAAACACACGTACAAACAGGACAACTCGTTTCACTGCGAGTGTTTTAGTTAACAAAAATTTGTCCGTTTCACACGCAAACGCATGTATGTGTAAGTGTATACCGTATATATGTATATATATACATACACACACATATGTAGGTACGCCTACTGTTCTGATTTCGAATTTTCTATCTGACCTTTCAATACTATGCATATTGTCTGGTAACCCTAACCATGTCCTATTAACATAAGCATCTTACATTCTTTCTGTCCTTTCAAGAAAAGTTGTTTGTTTGTTTTTTTGTTTTTTTTTGCGATTTATGGGGGCGCCATCAGCAGATGATATGCCCCCTCAAGAGAAATTAATTGCAGCTGTCAGCTATAGCACTGGGCTAAACAAGAGGACGCTCCTTTAAAACAAAACGTGTTTTTAATATGTTGTACCGTGCAATATCTGTAGATACAAGTTATTTACAAATTAAAACAACCTCAATCAGTTATTAGAATCGAATAATTATTTGCACTTTATTTAAATAAAGTCTTCTCTCTAACTAGTTTGGGGGTTGGCCACTACGTTTACAAGCCAAGAACTTTTACATCCGGGTAGCTGGCTCAGAGAGCAAATATATAAAGCGAGCATGTTCGTCGACGTGTATACGAACTCGCTACTCTCGTTATGGCGCACTAACCACCAGGGTATGCCAGGCCTTTATAAGTTATCCAGAATATTCATATCGTTTATTTTGTGCAAATGAATATAACTAAACTTATGATGAAGTAATAAACAACAACAACCATCTAATAGTTGAAAGGACATAAAAATATGTAAATTATAGTAGTTTTATGTTTCTTCTATATGCTTAATTTTTCACTTACTTTACAGATACGCGTTGTTTAACCTCTTTCACTCCCACGAGCATATATCTGTCCTCTTTTAGAACGCTGAGCGTTTGGAATTTAGCACTACCATGGAAAAAGGATGTTCCCTTTTCTCTCCTCCCTCCCACCTAGTTTGTCACTTTCAGATTACTAACGAAATATTAAAATATGTTATTGTTTTTTTATTGTGTATCTAAAATAAACCTCACATTGGGAAAGTTGCTTATCTTTTAAGGAAGAGGTGAAATAGTTAAATATTAAGTATATTTGATGAGTGAAAATTCCTATTTGAAACGAAAACAAAAGTATAACTACCAGGGTGATATTCTTTTGATAAATAGTCTAGAACATATCTTCTGTTTCTCTGTTAAGGGTTTATTAACCTTGAAGAAGAAAAAGTTGATTCTGTAAGCTAGAAACCATACTTTTCCAGGTTATGTCACTGTGCATTAATCCCAGCTTACTGGATGATGAAAACTTCCCCCCAGATGCAAAACAGCGTGCACGAATCTTTCTAGCCAATTGTAAAGGACATAGCCTAGGTAAGTATTTCGTGAAGAAGCTCTCTTTATTTGCTTGATGATTTGCAGTAATTTAATCATTTGTAAATATTTTTAGCCGCGGCTGAGTGGCTCTTAGAACGATTCACAGTCACTTTAACTTAGCTATAATTCACAGCGATTCACGCACTTTATTTACGACTTGACTCAACTATCTGTCTATCTTGCAAATTCTCTATGCCGACACTTCATTTTCCGGCTTATATACTAAAATAGAGGGTGCGTAGAAAAGACAAGAGTTGCCAGGAACAGACATGATTCTTCTAGAATCTCATGACGTGTTA